TGTAGAGAGATACAGAGACCACACTAGGAAAAAAGAGAGAATATGAATCTAGGTGAACAGTACATAGGCTTTCATTGTACCACCCTATTAACTTTCCTGTAAGTTTAAATTTTTTCAATAGTGTTGAAAGAAAAAACTTAAGCAATATAAACTGCGTCTATGATGCAAGTCCTCCCTAAGCTTTAAGTTCAAGATACCACCCATGTACTCTGCTGTTAACTCTACTACTTTCCTTCCAGTCGTTTCCTGTGACCAAACTTACATGTACCCTCCAGAGGTCACTTAACTCACAGAGGCAGTGCGTTATCTTAGGGAAACAGCTTACTTACCAGCACGTTTTTCAGTTTGATATCACGGTGGACAAGTCCCTGGCTGTGCAGGAAGCGGATTCCTTCCACCACATCTAGTGCTATCTGCAAACGTGTCTCCAGGGTCAGCCCAGCCTTAGGGAGACAAAACAGCTTGCTTGTCACTAACAAGACAACGCCTCAGTCCAACCTGCTTACATCAACTAAGAGTTCCTTCTGTGGGGCACTGAAAGACTGACTGCACTAGGGCATACAAGGACATAAAAGTAGAATAAAAAAGGGAAGAGGAAAGCAGGTGGGAGACGGGAGTAGAGGAGAAGCAAGGAAAGGCAAGCTATCCAGGGCAGATAAAATCCCTGAAGGCTGCATATAGGTCTGCTGGGTAATCCCCAGAAGTGACTAGGAGAGATGCAACCAAACGACTGAAGGCATGAGCTCATTCTAACCCCTAAACAAACTCTGGAACTGCCCTTGAGGCTCAAAATAAGTATCTCTAGGTCCCTCAGCAGATTTACATCCGTTGCTCTGTAGGCCTAGTTAGGCCAGGTTGGGTTTTATGGATTCAAATACCAAAGTCACTAATCTTACTCTACCAAGTGTCCGATTTATGATATCTTGAATTCTGGAGAACATTATATCACTCAACGAAAAGCTCAAATATGGTTTTCTAGCCCACTTGTGGAGAAGCAGCAGACAATACTGAGCTTAAGTCCTCGGAAATGAAAAGGGAAAGCCATTTGGAGGGTCGTTTTCTTCATCATATTGATTTCTCATGGCTCCAGCATTTCTAAGGATTCCTTTGTTCTACTTCTGGAAGCTTCCATATAAACTGGGACAAGAGAAATCTGTGAGAAGGGACCTACCCAGACACACTGGAGTTACCTTTCCCCCCATTCTCCTCAGCTTCAGTGCAGAGAACAGACAAAAGTAACCTCTTCACTTCCGTTTTGGTGGTTATTTTAGATGAGGGAACCTCAATATCCAACTGAGGGTGTTTCACCTTCACTAAAATAAAATCTTTCGATAGCTTCTCATTGTCTGTAACACAATTTGAAACCTATGGAAACTCTTTAACATTTTTAATCCTCCAGAATTTCTCCCTAACATTTCTGTGCACATTATCTCCCTCACCCCAACAATTCCCCAAATGAACCAGTTCCTCCAACATGAGTAGCGTC